AAAAAAGAACCTCAGATGTACTGCAACTAGTCCTGCATGTACTATGTCATAGCTAGCTAGAACTGGGTCTTTGGACATACTGGCAACTTCCCAGTTTATGGTTTATTTAGTCCCCTCACAACTCTCAGGAAATAGTACCATCCCCTTTCACTGAGGCACAGACACATTAAACAGATTATCTCTCATGTACACTCCTTTTAAGTGGCAAGGGCTGGACTCAGATGCCTGCTGCTCTTGTCCCTCTCCTGCTTCTCTGCTGTGTCACCTTTCTAGCCTCTGCAGTTCTGAAGGTCTGGGCAGTCCTGACTTGGCTGCTTACCACCTATGTGACTGTGTGTGGCTTGTACAACACAGCTGAAATTTAGCTTTTGTATTGGCCATGTAAAAACAATAGTCTGTGATTTGCAGGGATGCTCCCTCAATTCTAATCAATAAGAGACATGAAGTTTCCATTCCATTCCCTGTGGGTCGCATGGCTCAGATGAAGAAGCTGAATTACAAGCCTGGTTTACACACGCCTCAATAACTTATGGCCTGTGAAAGCACTGCAGAACCAAGTCAATAGACTTACATCATTTCTAAAACCCACCCCATTTTCTATCAGTTCAAATCAGCAGAAATGACTTAATGTCTTTTTCCCTGAGAATTCTGCAAGAGACTAAGATAGGACCCCTCAATCCTTGGACGCCCTCAGGCTGGGTCTCAGTGGAGGAAGTCTGTGTGAACTCTCTACTACAGTCTTGTCCTTGTACATTGAGTGACACCCTGCCCTGGAAATCTGACCAAGCTGTAGATGAAGCCAGAATTGCATCATGAAGCTGAAATTGTCCAAATGAGAGGCAGAGACGTGTGCAAATGACAGGGAAGGTGTTGCAGTCTTTCATTTTTGACAACTAATAAAGATGTTTTTCACTTTTTACAGCATTTATATGTAAGTCCCGTTATGTTACGTGGGTGCCAATCCTTTGTCCCCATACTGGTCAGAGCTGGTATCATTAAAGGCCAAGTGACTGAGGACCTAAGAAATTACATATTATCAGAAATTACTCATCAAGTCCCAACAGCAGACCATAGTCTCTGGGCTTTGTTTTTAGGATCCTGTCACTGTGCTTCACAGTCTGTCTAAGAATAGAGAACTAGGAGAGAGACAAATGTCATTAGCACAGCTGACACAAGTGTTCTCCTTAAAATGAAATTATGTTAGTGAAAACTTTCTTGGTTAGAAAAAACGTAACATGGAAGAGATGAGGGATTATGAGCAGGTATGAACCAAGGTAAAATTTAAGGAAGCCAGCAAGCAGTCTCTATGCTTCTGCATATTTCACTTGTTTTTTGCCATTTGCTCATTTGAGCAGCAGAGCATGTAAAAAGCACCATTTTATATAGTCATAAGAGGACTGGTGTTTTTACAGAGTTAGTCAAAATGCAACTGATTTCAGGGTTTTGCAAATATTATTTTTTCTTATTAATGAAATCTGATTCTATTTTTAATGAAGACAAACAATTTAAAATATCCAGAGGACCCTGGAAAAGCAGAATAAAGCCAGATGGCCCAGGTAAAGTACAGACAAGCAGAAGAGATGCACCTGCCCAGGCTTGAGTTCTATGTCTCTGAAATAAACTTGTCAGTGTTCTGACAGACAGCAGCAGGCATGGGCTTTCTTCAACTTAATTTTACTCCATGCTGTTTATGCCAGAGTGGAGTCATTCCATAAATTTCTGTTTTCATTAAAATCTTAGCCATAATCAAAGCGCATACATGAGATGGAGACATGTTTTAGAATAATCTGAATCTAAAGGCAGAATACATGCGTTTCAGTCCACTTCTGGCTACATAGTTTAAGTGTATATAATTCAAATTATATCCACAATCCTTCATAATACATCAACAATATTTCAGGGTTTCATATAAAATTCAAGGATTTAATATAAGAGTCTGAAATTTGGGCAATCTAGAGGACTGTGTGTGTGTGTGTGTGTGTGTGTGTGTGTGTGTGTATGTGTGTATGCATGCTCATGGATATACATGCATGTGGAGGTCAGAGATAGATGGTAGGTGTTTATCTCAATTATTCTGCACTTCCTTTTATAGACAAGGTCTCTCACTGAGCACTGGAATGTGTGTGCTACCATGACCAAGGTTTTACTTGGGTTTGGGGGATGGAACTCAGATCTTCCTGTGCATCAGGCACTATACTGATTGAGTCATCTCCCCAGCCCTAAAATTTCTTTTATTAAGCTTACAAGTGGAAAATTTCTTTTTTCTTCCTTCCTTCCTTCCTTCCTTCCTTCCTTCCTTCCTTCCTTCCTTCCTTCCTTCCTTCCTTCTTCCCTCCCTCCCTCCCTCCCTCCCTTCCTCTCCCTCTCTCTCTCTCTTTCTTTCTTTTTTCAGTGCTGAGGACCAAACCCAGGGCCTTGCATTTGCTAGGCAAGCGCTCTACCACTGAGCTAAATCCTCAATCCTTCCTTTTTCTTTAAACTTATCCTATGCTGCATACCCCTTTTGAAACATAGGACAGGAAGGAGAAAAAAACAGTAGAAGCCCAGTATCCATATCAGTGGTCTAACATTAGCACTCTGTGCAAGGGGAATTAATTAGAAATAATAGATTTTCAGGTTCCACTCTGGAATCCAGTGATGACTTCCAGAGGTAGGTCAAGATTTCCATCCATGTGTACAGCAAACCCTCCATGCCATTCTGATGCCCCATTTAAAAATGGGATCCAGGTTCTTAGAAGGGAATAGCTTGTGCTGCCTTTGGAGTTTGGTCTCCTGGTCTAAACTCTTAGCCTCATGCCTGTAACTTAGTGGGGAGAATACAACTAGAAGAAGTCATTAGTTCAATATTTCTCAAGCACTGATCCCTCTTTGGACAATTTTAGGAATGTTAATCCCACAACTAGTCAAGGTATGAGCACTGATGCTGCATTGACTTCCCCCTGTTAATTCTTACCCAGAAATTCTTATGTGCTCTGTCCTTGGAAATTGAAACTTTCTGCTCACCCTCAAGGCAGGAATCTTAATTGTCTGTTCTCTGCATCCTGTCTTGTGCCCACATATCCCTTTTCACCTCATATTCACTGGTACCTCTCATGATGGCAAAACCTGACTGGTCAATTCCATCCCAAAGGCCTAGAAGTACTGTTGAACTCCCTGTGGGCTTTCCTATGTTATGTAGAAACAATGAAAGTCCAGCCTGGGGCCACTAGAGAGGGGTATGTTTCACTTGCAAGGGTGGCTTCGGGACCCTTTCTAAGGACCAGGACACCAGATATAAAGAGAATACCCCTTGAATATTCTTGAATATTTGTTAAGGTAGGTCATACAGTTTAATTATCACAAACCATGCCAAACACAACAAGGCTATGAGTTTCCTATACCATAAGTAGTGAAACATTTATGGTAGGTATGATCTAATTAGATTGTAACTGTGTATGTGCATGAGTGTGTGTGCACAAAGATGCATATGGAGGCCAGCAGTTAATCTGCCTTGTGGATTTTCTATTGAACCTGGGTCCATTTTTAGGTTGAGCTGCTGATTTAGGTAGGATGGCTGTCCAATGGTCCTTCAGAACTTTCCTGACTCTGTCTCCTCAGTTCTGGGATTGCAGTTGTGCATCACAATGCCCAGAGGTATTATCATAGTTATTGTTATTATCATTATTATTATTTTATTTTCAAACATGTGCTCTGGGAATTGGACTCATGTCCTCATGATTATGAGGCAAGCACTTTATTAACTGAGCCACATCTCTCACTCATCCATTTCTTTTCTTCACAGAAGTTGCTGGTAAGCACAAAAAAGTTCAAATTCTACCCCATGAAAACAAAAGGCAAAACATTAACTAGACATTTATATAATGTGAACACGAAGCAACTCTTTGAATACAAAGCCTGATAATTATACCAGTGTCTCTGAGAACTGATGCTGGGTTTGGCATTTTAGACAGGAAATGTGTGAAAATAAGGAAACTGAGATTTTATATGACCAATTTACATTATTCACTGTTTCTGCACCCTGCCTGTCAAGCCTTAGTATGGTTTCCAAGTAATATCTTCCCACTGAGATGCATATCACCAAATGGGTACAATTTTGCCTACATCATTCACTGTGTCCAATTTGGTCATTGCAAGCAATGTTAGAAACGGCAGACATCATTTCATTCAGGACAGTGAGGTAGGTGCTGTGATAACCACCTCACTTTCCACAGAAGACAGCAGGACAAAAAAGAAAATTGTCTCTCACACCCCCATAAAACCACTAAGCAGAGCACATTAACAGCATCAGCCTTCCACAGCAAATGGGAGTTGAAATGCATTTTCTTTATTGCGATAGACTCAGAAGTCTGAGGTAAGATTGGTGAACCCATCTCTTTAGTGATCTCTAACTTCTCACCATATCATCTACACCATATGATGAAGCTTTCTCTTGGTTATCCTCCATGTGCTCAAACCATCATCTACAACCAGCTTCCTATATTTAAGTTTGTCCTGCTTCACTGAGACCCACACTTCCCAAAGTTCCACAGCAAGTCAGAAGTGGCACATCAGAAGAACAAGAGCAGTCACTTAGCACAATGACTTCAATCTGTTTTATAACCCAATCCGACTAACATACGCTAGGAAATCCCCCAGGGTTCAGACGGATATTCGCTAGATAGAGATCACCAACTCGGGTCACAGATCAGCCCATCCTCTCAACCCTGGGCAGCATCTCACAGGCTTCCCTCTGAAGCTCTCCTCTGTTGCAGTTCAGTTCCAGTCACACAACATCCTGTAATTAATATCATTGCCCAAAGAAAAAAAGTTGTTTTCTTCTTTCACCACTTTTTTCCCTCTCCTTTGAAAATACAAGAATATAATGCAACCTGAAACTGTCTTAGTGATTTAAAAGAAGCTCACTAAAGTGACTTTTAGCAAAAGATATATGAATAAAATAAAAGGAAGAAAAGTTACCAAATGTTCAGAATCAACATCATCACTTGCAATAGTACCCTTACCTTTCAATGAAAGAAGAGATCAATTTCAGAACATCTCTTCACTCCTCCACAGAAACAGCATCTGCCAAGAAAATGATTTATGGCTGTTACTTATTTGGCTCTAAGGACTAAAATCCACACTTTTCAGAATCCACTATTAGCTCATTTCCTAGGGCTTCTGGTTAAGATCTGAATCCAGTGCTTAATGAGATGCTGGGCAGAATGGCACAGGCGATATCCTGGCTGTGAAGAGATCAGGGTCTTTGTTCTTACCTTGCTTCAGATGTAGAGAACTTGAATAGTTACACAAGCATAAATGGGGCAGCACTGAGTAACCCCTGAAAGGCAGGGGTTTGTGAAGGGAAAAGAGGGTGAGGAAGGATAAAGAAAGTAAGAACTGGAAGGGAGGATGAATGTAAAGAGTAGGGAATTGGAACACTACAGTAAATGAAGATGCTTACATACTGCCTGGTAATAAAACAGCAAAGACCATATAGAATTAGTAACGAGCATATTTACAAAGCTAATCAACTAAGCCACATATTAGGATCACTTGAGTAACCTAAGAATAATCCTGATGACATGCCTGTGCTCCAAACCAATTAAATCAGAACCTCTGGGGTAGATGCCAAGCCTCAATATTTCTTAAAACCTCCCCAGTGGTTCCACTATACAGGCAGGCCTGAGAGTCAGTGTTCTGTAGATGGTGCCTTTGCATTAATCTCTACCTGATCATCAGTTGCCATGGAAATGTGTCTACCAGCTGGGTGAGGGTTGTCCTACCTCCAGGTTACTTTCAGAACTAAAAATAACTGATACTTTTCAATCACTTGGAGAATCTTTGTGTGCTCTGCAGAAAAACTAAAAACCTCCAATACAACCCATTCTTGTCTATATATCCCTCCAGGTCCGCTTTGTGCACTCCAGCTGGAATCTTCTAGCCACAAAACAAACAGTAGCAGAAAAGCCATTGGTCACTAGCTTCTCATTTGTTGGGTTGGATCACCCCTAAGGGTTGCATCTTGTTACTGTTATATAACTAGTCAAATATTAGAAGGCTTGGGAATTGCTAGGGCTGGGCCTGTTTCTCCTAATCAGTAGCCTATATAACCAAGAACTGACACAAAAATGGTCAAAGGAATGTGACTCAAGCCATAGCTCTGGACCTGGGAGGAGACATGACATCCTGAACTCCCCAGAATGGCATTAATAATTACTTACCTAAACCTCACTCTGAGAGCCTTAAACCATCTAAGATTACTTTCTAGCCAGAAACTCCAAAAGAATGAACAAGGATGTAATATTTTCCCAGTAAGACTCTATCCAATGGGGCTTATAATTCACTTGGGCTGGACAAAGAACCAAACAACTTCAGGAATCACTGTATACTTTAGAGACCTGAGAAAGGCTAGCTAAAATGGTAGATTGAGGCATTGGTCTGTTCAGCCATTTTGCACTTCCACCCCAGAGAATGTGCTTTGTTCTACTCTATGATAAATTCTGCTTTTCTTCCATGCTACTCTGTCTCTTCACAGTTCTCTCCACTGAGATCACAAGGATGAGGGGCCCAGGGAGTCCAGTGTTAGACTGTTGTTTTTGTTGTTGCTTATGGGTCAGCATGATGCAACTCTGAAGTTGTAGACAATAGGCTTTTTTACAACTTCTGTCTTTGTATTGTCTGTGTCATTTTCTAACTATGTGACAATCAGCTAATTTGGAATCAATTCAGTCTTTTTATCTGTATTATGAAGGTAGTAATACCTCAGAAAAATGTTTTTGAAGGTAGGAACCCTGATTATAAGTTTCAACTGTCAGATCATTCTGTTTCTAATAATAGTAACAATAAGGTTTGCACCACCCATTTGCATAAAAACACAAAAAAAGATTAAAGGCAATTTATACACATCTTTTCTCTATAACAACAGATTCCTACTGATACTTAATATTATAAGATTCTTATTTTTTGCATGCAGTTCTTTAACAAATTGTTATCTCCCAAATGTACAAAGTACCACATTCTTGTGGGGCTTCAGTGCATTTGTGAGGCTATGTGTGGAGGGAGCGTCAGCACTCTGTTAGGATGTTTGAGTCTCCTCATCAATAAACCAAGTAGTCTGTCCACTGAGCTTTGGCAAGTGAAATGGCCTCAACACAAGATTCTTATGGGGATCAGAACCATGTGACTAAAATTCTGTCAGTCACTAAACACCTCCCAAAGTCGAGGCTGCAGTTCAGACATGCACCTCAATATAGTTACAAATGTTGTTACCTTTGAAAAGCAAAGGAAAAGAGAGTTTTAAAAAAAGAGCAAAACAATTCATTTTCCATCTAATTAAAGTCATTACAAACAGCCTCCTAGTGCTTAACCTTTTTCCTCCCAAATCCCAATGTTTCTGCTAGATGTTCAGATGTGGAGCTTCATTGAGGTTTCTCTTAATTGCCTTTCCATCACTAATGGGATTCACTTCATTATTACCTCTGCCAAAAGCTGCCTCCCACTCTCAGCCCCCATGCTGGGCCATTTACATGCCTATTTATAATGCTCGACTCGCTAAATGCTGAAGTCATGCCACCTTCAAAGTTTAGGAAGCTAAATTGAAAAGTGGTCTCTCTAATTAGGAAACACTGAATGAAGTGATACTTTTCTTATATATCTATAAACTCCCTATCTTAACCCCCTCCTCTTTGTTCATTTGTACCAAATTTTATCATCCTTTCTTCCTTTTCTTCTGACCTTTTCCCCTTCTCCCTCATCTGATTCATCTCTCCCCTTTGCATCCCTATTCCATACCCAGGTGCTTCCTGTGTCTAGCCTCACAATCTCAAAGAGCATCTTAAGCCATTTCTCTGTATCTACAACCACCTCAGCTTTTTATTGAGCGCTGACTTCTATCATGTTTATTTTGTTCAACACCAATCAAGATGTGTGATCTGTGTTTAATAGATTCCAATTGAAAGGTGAACATAGCAAAGGTTAGCAGAGAAAAAAAGATGATGAAGAACACGGTGTTTGTGGACAATGTATTCAGGGCAGAGGGGTTCAGCCTGTAACCTTTGGATAGAAACAAAGAATCCCACAGAGCTTTCTTGTCAAAGAAAGGACATAGCCCGGGGAAGATTTTTGCTGGGAGGGTGGGGGTGGGGACCCTTCAATGAAACAATGGAGCAAGGACTGCAGGGATCCAGACCTTCACCCATCTAATAATGAATGCCTTGTTCTTTCTCCTTTCAAACACAAGATTTTAAACATTGGAGTCCAGTCCAAGAGAATGAATTAGTAAGGACAGGGTAAAAGGACCAGGCAGAGTCTTGGCAGCTCCATGAGAGGGTAGCCAGGGCTTTTTAGGTTCTCTGCAATTTTGTTGGTTTGTAGGTTACAAGGTTCAGTTGCTGTGTGGTCCATTAAATTCTATTTCTTGTGAGAAGTAAAATGGTGAGGTCTTGCTGGGCAATGGTAGCACATGTCTTTAATCCCAGCACTTCGGAGGCAGAGGCAGGCGGATCTCTGTGAGTTTGAGGCCAGTCTGGTCTACAGAGCCAGTTCCAGGACAGGCTCCAAAAGCTACACAGAGAAACCTGCCCCCCAAAACCAAGAAAAATAAAAAAATTAAAAAATAAAAATAAATTGTGGGGCCTTTTGTTGTGTGAACAGGATGGTGGTATAGTAAGAACATTGCTGAGGACATGAAGGGCTATTGGTGGAACAAGAGACATCCCAACAATTTAGGTGATTTCTGAACCTTTATTTACTGAAGTATAGAACAGTTTGCATGTCTATAATTAGAAACAGGAGCATTAAGAAGTAGCTGTTGATCTAGCCTGTCTTCAGCGTTTACAGCCCTGCTAGAGAAAAGTACCAACTCCAAAATAATGAACAAGGTGTAACTAAAGGAAAAAAAATCAATTGAAGGCAAAAGGGTTAGGTATAGTATGGTGCTAGTGCTAAGACTAACTTAAGGGAGACTCTAGAAATTATACATATATGTATATGTATATATCTATAGATTCATGAAGAGTGTATGACACTCAAGATTCCATACTTGGCAGTACATGAACACTTGACATAAGACTCTGAATGTAAGATATATTTAAATTTTACTTTATTTATTTATGTTGTGTTTGTCTGAAAGAGAGAGGAGGGAAGGAAAGGAAGAAGGGTGAGAAGGGGGAGGGGAAAGAGAACAAATGTTATAAATGTTATGGTATACATGTGGATGATGCAGAGAGCAACTTTCTGTCAGTATATTCTTCCTCTTCCTCCTCTTCCTCCTTTTCCTCCTCTTCCTCCTCTTTCTCTTCCTCCTCTCTTCCACCTTCTCTTCTTCCTCCTCCTCCTCCACCTCCTCTTCTTCCTTTTCCTCCTCCTTTTCTTCTTCTTCACCTCCTCCTCATTATTATTATTATTGTTATTGTTATTATTATTATTATGTTCTTACGCTTCCACCTTGTTTTTGAGGCAGGGTTTCTTTTATTTCTGCTATGCTAATAGGAACTTTAGTTCTGGGATTACTGATACATCCCACTGTACTCAGCTTTTTACATGGGTTCCGGGGTGAACTCAAGTCATCAGACTTTTGAGACAAGCATTTTTAGCAATAGAGACACCACCCCAGTCCTTGTAAGAGGTTTTAATCAGCTAAGAAAAATGCTGCCATGCAGAGAGAATAGGAGACAATGAGAGCACCAAGAGAGCACAATAGACTCCACATCCTTGTTTCTTCCATAAAATAGCTTTGAAGATGAACCACCAAGGATAAATCAAAGCAATCTGGGAAAGGTCTCTTGTTCCTTCTCCTGGTCAATTATTTGATATTTTTTGGCTGCTTATGCCAAGCAAACAGTACCTACAGAATAGAATGTAATGCATCTTGGCCTTCTGACTTATAAAGTTGGGGTTTGGCCAGTGAAAATGATGACAAGAAGAGAAATGGTGGGAAATGAAATGAAGTATATTTTTGCTGTCCTTCTCTGCTGTGATAGTATCTCAGTGTCTGATGGGACTATAATCGTGGCAAGTGGTACCTTCTTTGGGATTCTGGGCTCTGGTTTACAGCTTGCTCTAGATTTCTAGACTTTGGTAAGAGGTGGACGGGAGTGAGAACTTCCAGGTTGGCAGCAGCTGAAGAACTTATAAGGCATTCTTTTCTTACCACTCTTTTCTGGTCATCTCAGACCTACCCACACCTCTACAAGAGGTTCTAACTTTAAAAGTGCTTCCTTTGAACAGTTGAACTCTTCTGGTGAAGAACTGGCTGAATCCTTTAGTGAAGGTGAAGTTGGCTGATACATGAGCTAAAGAAAGTGAAATGTGGGTTATGAAGACAGAACAATATGGTCAGCAGCACTTATCTCTGTATGATGGAGAAGAATGTGATACTGGCAGAAAAAGAAGAGATGAATAGCAGCGTCAGAATACAAAAGGCTGTGAATGTTATTCTAGGGAGTTTCTGTGCAATCATGTAGAAAAGTGATTATAATATTTTAAGTAAATGATAGGAAAGAATTTCAAAGTATGTACATTGTAATGACACCTAGGGAAAAGAATATAATTAAATGCATTCAAATGATATCTATGGTTCCTATAGGTTTGCAATACAGATTTTCTTGATCTTCTCTGCTTGGCAAACAGCCTGAAATGGATAATGTAGGTTGGAGGTGTAAAATGTACCTGATGGGGGAATGTCTTTCTGTATGCTGTGAATATATGTTGCTCTGATTGGTTGATAAATAAAGCCATTTGGCCTATGCCAAGGCAGCTTAGAGGTAGGTGGAAAATCCAAACAGATAGAGAGGAAGGAAAAAGACAGAGCAGAGGAGATACTGCCAGCCTCCACCATGAGAAGCAAGATGTAAAAGTACCAGTAAGTCACAAGCCATGTGGCAAAGTATAGTTTAATAGAAATGGGTTAATTTAAGATATAAGAACTAGATAGGGGAAGCCTGCCATGTCCATAGTTTAAAAATAATATTAGCCTGTGTGTGACTATTTGGGTCCACACAGCTGCAGGACTGGCGAATGAGAGAGATTTGTCCTGACTGCAGGTCAGGTGGGACACAGGAAAACTTTCAACTATATGTACCTTTAAAGAAGACATGTGCCAAGTAATCTCTCATGTGAAATAAATACTCCTGAGGACTCTGTATAAGATTCATGCCTCTGACTGGCTTGCATCCTTTTTCAAGGCAACTGCACTACTGTGCAAATGAGCAATCAAAGCTCTCCAAACCAAGCTCTTAAAGGGCAGGGCAGATCTTAGAAGCAGAAGCAGATGACTTTTTTGTTTGTTTGTTTGTCACTCAAGAGCATATTCAGTTCAACTAGGTTGCTTTTTGACCAGAATTTTCTATCATCTTTGACAATGTGCCTTACAATCCTTGATATCTAAGAGTCAAGAGACTGTGGTATGCCAAAAGAGTGTTAAGCCCTTTACACAGGACATTTTTAAATCCTCACAACTCTATGAAGTAAATAGTGACATTATTCTTTATTTTTCTCTTAGGAAAATTGTTTAGTGAAAGTAGACTTGCTGGTGAAGATGGCATAGTTGTCAGTGGCAGAACTGAGATGCTGAAGTTCTTACTTCAATAATCATGCTTTAAATACATTTTACTACTGACCATAAAGTTATAGAGTCCATAGAATACAAGTTAAGATTGTATTTTAAAGTTCCTCATTATTTTCTGTTTTTATAAGCTATCATTTCATTAACCTTTCATAGAATTGCTCCTAAAGAAGGGGTTTATGGGAATTTAAGTTTCTAATAATTGCATCTGTCATTGTAGGTTAATGGAATTGTGATCTGACAAAGAGATCAGTCTCCATGATTCTGAGTGATGGGACTCTCTTCACAAACAATTAGCCCAGCTAGGTAGGTTTCTCTTGGAACCACCCATTTCCTTACCCTTATCTTTGGGCATCACTTTTTGAGCTCTGTGTTTTAAACTTGTACCGTGTCTTCTTTTCAGTCTGATAAAAGTAACAGTGTGTCCTACAAGTTATGATTAATACAAAAATCAAATTAATTAGGAAGCATATGGAAAATTTTGAGCAGGAAAGGGAATCTTCTGATCTTAGCAAAAGAGACAGTTCCTGCTACAGGGAAAATCCAGAGAGAGCTTTCAGGGCTGAGGGCATCTGGAAGAGAAATCGAAGAATTGGTAACCCTAGTCTCTAGCCCTATGTGGTATGGTGGTCTGGATTTATGCTGTAGCAGATAAGGTGGAATATTGATGATAAGTACAGATTATGAGATCTAACACTGCCACCTGACTTCATATAGCTTCTTCTGTCTCTGGGTCAAGTTATTGTCTATGTGGTCATATCTAGCTGGTTGGCCGAAGGAATCAATAATAACCAATGAGCCACAGGTAGACAAGACAATGCACAATAATGACAGGTCATGAGGGTTAATCTCCAATATCTTCCCTGTGACAATCACACATGCATGAAGGGGTTTAGTACATATTTGTATGGAAGCACAAGAGTTCCAAGAAGGAGCATGGCATCTCCAAGCTCTGAATGACATTACTGGGGCTTAGTAGTTTTCAGCTCTACCTCTGACTTTGTGACCCTAGACATCCTTTCTACCTATCTGCCTTTGTTTGATCATCTGAAAAGTATTTCAAAGCTAAATTTACCTGTTTACACTAATTTAATTGATAGATTGATACCACATGTGCATATGCACACTTGTGGTATACAATGTATTACTTCCTCTCTAGTCAACCCATTTCATTGAGTCAACACATTTTCATTTCTTATTTGATGAAAACAAATTCCCAGAGAAGAAAAAAAATGTTTTTTGTTTTTTTTTTTCCAGAAGGCAGTTGGGTTTTGGCACATCAGAAAACCCACTGAACTTGGAATGAGACAATCTGGACTTGGATACCAGCTTTACTGTTGATGACATTAGGTGTGTGATATGTGTCCTCTAAGCATCGATTTCCTACAGAAAATAAGGCAAGTGGTCAGGACACTCTTTATAGATCTCCTTATTTATTTCTCTGAAGTATAAATAGAAGTATCCAAACCAGGAATGTAATAGAGGACTCCTGTTGACATCTGATATTCTGGAGGACTGTACTCTTGGTGTGAAAGAAGACACCCACCCAGTGCTATACAGGTCTCAGTCTTGGTGGTGAAGGCTCTGGAGGGCTTGAGCCACAGGTATTCAGGCCAGCATGGCTTCTTGGCTTTCTGGGTTACACTGCCATTATGCTCTCTTCCTCTCCTACCAAACTCAATGGCAGCTCTGCCTGACAGTACCATCTTGGGACTAGTGAACAAAATGTTATTGTAAGAGCTTCAAAGGCACCTCAACAATATTTTAGAAAATGTGAAATCTACTCAAAATTTAGATAGTCACATCAGAAAAGATATACATCTTAGAACTGAAAAAAATGGGTTAGTACTATTCTTGTAAAATTATTTCAAGGAATAATTATTACCCAGACACCCTGAATGCAACACAGTGACAGTGACAGGTGATTCGATGCTAGTTTTCTCTGTGCCCATGCCTCATCTGTATGGTTTCCAGGAGCCACATCAGAACACTGCATCTGTGGAACCAATTTTGCTGTAATCATTACATCATAATGCTGTGCCTGTCATTTCATTAAAAAAATATTTACTTTGGAGAACTGTTGACTTTCAAGGCATCCCTAGTTGCTATGAAAACATTCATAGCATTTATTATTCATTCATTTATTTTCTGTTATATTTCCTTTTATTTTTGCAAATTAGAAAAAGTGAAAATTTGCCCCAATTTTTTATTATCAGCTGCAATTTCTGTTCTAATCACCTGATAAAGTTCATAATCTCCTTTATCATCAAAATATATTTCTATGTCAACATTCTCCCACTCTGAAATTTAGTCCTAGACAAAGCAGGCAAAGGAATCCCAAAAGGAACCATTTTTTTTTTCATGCCCAGATTCTAGTAATGAGGATGATAATCAGCTTGCAAACTTTTGTTTCTATGCCTCGGTAAAAGAGATTAATGAGGGATTGATTCATTAAAGACCACAAAAGGGGCATTTCTACTTTTCTTATCCATAACTAATTAGAAAGGGACAAAAGGGTTCTTAGAAGGGAGAGCAGATACTGGGGAAGAGGGAGGAATCAGCTATGGGGCTTAAGAATGCAGCAGCCGCCTATTGCACACCAATGTTTCTACTTGACAGTATCTGTTTCCAGTTCTCTGGCCCAGGCATGTTAGTGGCACTAAGACTGACTTGTGAAAACAAGATTAGAGTTCACAAGGACATATAGTGCATTCAGAGGGGGCTGATGTCAAACTGTTTCTGCCAATTACATGTCACAAAATATGGGGGATATCTTAAGAAAGCAAGGTACCTGGGCAGGGAAGATACTAATTAAAAAAAGTGTTATGAAAAAAATTCTACTTGATTCAGTGAGAATATATTGAGAAAAAATCCATACACTGTGATAGGCTTAAAGGGGGGAGATAGAGTGTCCGTAGTTCTTTTGGGATCTCTTTTCTCTCAGACAACTGAAACAACACCCAAAGAAGAAGTAGTTAAGAATTTGTTAATTTAAATTAATAAATTTTCCCTTATTCTGCTCTTACCCCTCCTTTTCATCACCTGTTATACAAATATGTGAAAACATATTTGGTACAAAGCATTGAAAGACAGCTCTTATCTAAGGGACACACACACACACACACACACACACACACACACACTCATACAAACTTTGCAGAGTCTATTACAAGGTCTTCTTCATAGTATCTCCTAAGCAAATCTCTGTCAATAACACTGTTAACAAGAGTGATTTAGCCAGTCGATGTTTTTGCCAGTGTGTTGCATGTTAAAAATCATTTGATATGCATGCCAATTGGTTATTAATTATCTATTTAAAAATAATAGCACTAATTTCAGCAGTTTGGTTTAAGAAAATGTCAAGTGATTCATTAGTGAATAATTGTTTTTCCCCTCAAATAAGTTGGTTACTAAATTTTTTGATAAAAAGGGGAAAAAGTTAAGCATTTTGAATAATGTCTGATAAAAGATAGCCAAGAAGACTAGATATTTACATGTTGCTTAATAAAAACTTGATTGTTTAAAATGTGCCTTTGCTTTACATTCTGTTTACATTATGAAAGACCATGGAGATTGAGCTTATGGAAGGAATATGGGAGTTCAAATTTGAAAGCATGAGTTTAAGACTGATTTCAGCATTACCTTTGCATTAAATAACCTAGATGGCCACTTTTTCATTCATATGCTAGAGTCAGCACCAGCCTGAGTTATTAGAAGAGCCAGGAAGATATTAGGCATGAAATGTATTAAGAATTATATGATATTGTCATTGGAATATTTATGATTGGATTTCTATTATAGTAAACAATAGAAAGGGGGTTGCTCTATGTCTCACAAGCTGCTCTGATTTAATGCCAACTTGAAAATCCTCATCTAGACGAAGTGTGGTCATACTCTGAAATTACACTGTCGTAGATCCTAAAGGTGTTTTCCATCTTTGAGATTCTTTCTCTCAAATTTTCAATAGTTTTTGTGGACTACATCATGTAATGAAAACAGAAGGAGATCCCCCCCTAGCTCTCCCACTCATCCTCTGAGGAAACAGAGGCTATAAAACTCTATGCACTTGGAATGGTACCTGGAATGCATCCAAGTATTTTGTGACATTAAGAGAAGAGCAGTCTTTCCATGTCCCCAGGAAGCAGTAGCCTTTCCAGGGACATCAGTCCTCAAGCATAGCACAAGCACTATCGCTGTCACCTGGGCTCTGTTGCTTAGATTCTAGATACATAAACAGAGGTGACTAAGATGCCAGCAGGATGAATGAAATTGGGGCATCCCACTGTAAAGATTTCTGGGAGCTGCCTCAATTTGATCTTCTTCCTTGCTAACAAACCCATAATTAAGTTCATGGTGGCCATATGCCCAGTTTAACAGTAAAATTTCCCAGTCTCCTTTTAAGTTTGCAATATAGTTCTTAATGATATTCTAAAAGAAAGTCAATCATCAGGGTTTTGGAGAAAAGTTTTCAGTGACACAAACTGAATTGGCATTACCCTCTGCTTTGTGAACTTCTTATCTATACTAGGTGGGGAAAGAAGTCATACCACAGCTGCAGTGAATCTGGGAACAAATATGTTAGCCTTACAGGGCTTCTTGCTGCAGAAGAAAATTAAAATTGATGCTTGGTGCCACCACTGCAGTTGAATTTCTGATATGACAAAGTAAATGCACATTGGAAGCAATACAAGGACTTCATGAAGTAATAGATTTTCAGCAGTATCTGACATACCATGACAGAGCTCCAGAAATGATGCTTCCTTTGTTTTATTTCTTGTCACTATGGAGAACATTAACATTGACCCATGGCAGAAGTACAACAGTGGTGTGCAATTGTCTTGATTATGTTAAGAATTTATTTTGCATGTGTGCATGTGTATATGTGTATGGGAAAGGAGAGAAAGAGAGAGAGAGAGACAGAGAGAGAGAGAGAGAGACAGAGAGACAGAGAGAGAGACAGAGATAGAGACATAGAGACACAGAGACAGAGAGACAAAGAGAGGGCATGCACGTGTCATGGCATGTGTTTAGAAGTCAGATGACAACCTTTCAGAGTCCTTTCTCTCTATTCATTGTAGGTACCAGGGATCAAACTCAGGTCATCAGACTTGAGTGGCAAGTGCTTTTATACTCTGAACTATCCCACTGGCCCATTTATCTTGATTATTAGTGGGATAAGGGTGCAAATAAAAAGGGTACAAAACCAGAATATGAGAAATGGAGAGAGGTGGCAGTAAATATTATATGTCAAGCCTTTAGTGTGGAAATGCAAAAATGGACACTAACATGGATTAAGAATATATTAGGTTGAAATATTCAAGAAATAACAATAATCTAAGACTGAGCCCAGAGCTATTCAATCATGATCACTGAAAGCCATTTCCATAGTGTCCTACAGCATAGGGACAAGGCAGGGGCTCGGAAGAGAAATAATGCGTATTTTGTCTGTCACTGTATGATTTAGGTTTCTTTAAGACTTTCATCTTTCCATTTAAGATAAGGAGAAAATACAAAAGAAAAAATTGGTGGGTTTCTAGGAAAACTGGTCATAATTTACCCCAAACTGAAGAATTGTGAGCAAACAATTTTCATGCCATGGTAACTGTGGAGGATTGGAAGAAAATGGTCCCCAAAGGGAGTGGCAATATTAGGAGGTATGGCCTTGTTGAAAGAAGTATGTCACTGTGGGAGTGGGCTTTGAGGTGTTCTATGTTCAGTGACAAGACTACTTCTCCAGCAGCAAGTCTGCCTGCATGCCACCATGTTGCACCATGATGATAATGGATTAACCCTCTGAAAATGTAAGCTACCCAATTAAATAGTTTTCCTTCATAAGAGTTGACGTGATAGTGTTGTCTCTTCATACCAATAAAAGCCCTAAGACAGAAGTAAGACAGAAGTTGGTACCACGGATTGGAGTATTGCTGTGATAGGCTTGACCATGTTTTTTTTTTTTTTTTTTTTTTTTGAGGAGTTTAGACTTTGGTACTTTGGGTTAGGAAAGCAATGGAATACATGAAGCACTGTTTAATGGGCCATACTAGTAGGAGCATGGAAGACAATGGTGCTAAGAATTATTTGAAGTGTGGGCCGCTGGCTCAAGTGGTTTCAGAGGAGAAAAATTTTAGTATATTGCCTAGAGTCTTCCTGAGCCCAAAGTGAAGAGTTTTATATTAATTCCATTGGCAGAAGAAATCTCAGAACAGCCTAGTATTGATTCAGTTGTGTAATTATTACCTGTCACTCTTATACAGATTTATATTAAAAAGGAGCAAGAAAGTGTAAAATTTGAGGACAAACAAAGTACCAGAGAGTGGAATGGAGCTAAGTCCTATATTCAAAGAGATAAACAGATTAAGAAATGAAATAAAGGGAGTGGTGACCTAAGGGCAACATTCCACCCAGTCAAGTTTCCAGTTGGTGAGAATGAATCAAAGAAAAGCTTAGAGCTGGGTATAGTGGTGCATAGTTTTAATTCTATCACCCCAGAGACAAGAGGCTGACAGATCTCTAAGTTTGAGGCTAGCTTGTTCTACAGAGCAAGTTGCAGAACAGCTAAGCTTAAGCAGTGAAGGTAACCATTGAAAACAGAAAGCTGGTGAAGATGTAATTGATAGATCTCTAAGTTTGAGGCCAGCTTGTTCTATAGAGCAAGTTGCAGAACAGCTTAAGCAGTGAAGGTAACCATTGAAAACAGAAAGCTGGTGA